CGGCTCTTTTTTTGTTACAATCATTTAAATACACCCATGCTTCATCTACTGTGACAATTGTTTTCCATTTTTCTTTGGATAAGTGTTTCTCATATAGAATTCTGCAGCGTGTCCTGCGTTGAGCGATATGCTTTGGATGCACATTGCATTTTTTCGCTTTCTTAAGATTTAAATCAACGTGTACCATTTTGTTTACAGTGGACACCGAGCATTTTAATGATTTTGCAACTGCCCTTTGACTAGGGGTATTTTCTTTTAACATTAAACAACGTACCTTTGCAATAGTCGAAGATGTCCGTTTTTTCCTTGGATACTTGTTTGGAATTTTTGTCCCACTTGAGGCTCCAATTTGACGTTTTTTTTTTTCCTTTCTTGTTGATGATATTACCTATCGACGCTTTAGATATCACAAAACCATGACTCTCACATCGGTTTTGGATAGCAGAGTATGCATATTTCTCTTCGGAAAGATCGTAAATGTAGCCTTCGAACCACTGGTTTGTTAAATTCACCATTTCGAATAAAAACAAAACTTTCAACCCACAGACGATAATATTGACTTTTAAAAACATAGTACAATTGCAATTACTTCTTTTGCAGCAAACGTACCAAAATCGTCTAAAAATGTGCGAACAGCCTCTGTAGTCAGTTGGTGCACCTACTTCAGCATTTTTTTTTTGTCCATTGTAACGGAAGTTAGCTTTAAACTATGTGCAGCGAAAGTTTTTTCTTTGTTAATTATTGTATTGTATTATTGAGTGTTGTTACTATACTTTTAAGGTCATCTATACAATACAACACGGTAAAGAAAATGTGTCATCGGTATCGGTAAAGCGTCGTGTTGCCATTCTTCAAAGCATAAGATAGATATTTTTCATAGTTAATAAAAACATTCAGCGATATGAAAGAAGAGTATTCACAATATATGTCCATTCACAATATACTTGTCTTTCGAATATATATGTCCACTCACAATATACTTGTCTTTCGAATATATATGTTCACTCACAATATATATTTGTCTTTCGAATATATATGTTCACTCACAATATATTTGTCTTTCGAATATATATGTTCACTCACAAAATATATTTGTCTTTCGAATATATATGTTTTCTCACAATATAGTTTGTCTTTCGTTGTCTTTATATATATGATATATATGTTCACTCACAATATATTTGTCTTTCGAATATATATGTTCACTCACAATATAGTTGTATTTCGAATATATATGTTCACTCACAATATATTTGTCTTTCGAATATATATGTTCACTCACAATATATTTGTCTTTCGAATATATATGTTCACTCACAATATATTTGTCTTTCGAATATATATGTTCACTCACAATATATTTGTATTTCGAATATATATGTTCACTCACAATATATTTGTCTTTCGAATATATATGTTCACTCACAATATAGTTGTCTTTCGAATATATATGTTCACTCACAATATATTTGTCTTTCGAATATATATGTTCACTCACAATATATTTGTCTTCGAATATATTGTTATCACAATATTTGTCTTTCGAATATATATGTTCACTCACAATATATTTGTCTTTCGAATATATATGTTCACTCACAATATATTTGTCCTTCGAATATATATATCCACTCACAATATATATTTGTCTTATTCACGAATATATATGTCCACTCACAATATATTTGTGTTTCGAATATATATGTTCACTCACAATATATTTGTCTTTCGAATTTATTTAAGAGTCTCAACGAATGTGTTGCCTCTGCCCAAATTAAAAGCGATAAACGCACATTCATTTAATTATTATTCATTACTAACTAGAACCACGAAATGGTCCTGCTGAACCGTAAATGTTTTCATTAAAATCATTTATAGATATGTAAAGAAGAAGTGTTTGTATGGGAGTATGTAATTCACATATATTTAAAAAAGCCACCTCACTTGGGCCCACATTCACGACAGTTACGCTCACTTCATCCGTCTTAGGTTCGCGTCAGCGTTGTTGCCTTTATTTCTAGCTCTTATTAAAATCACTAGATTGCTCTGTGTTTGTTTACTGTTTAGAACTGCACGGTCATTAGGTTTTTTTTTTTTTTTTAAGTAGGAGACATGAAAAATATGCTGCGCCGTCGCCGGAACTCAGACCTGGATATCTAGAACACGCGCCGAGTGTGGTACCGTTACACCACAAAGACACGCTGGAAGGAAGGAGGAAATATCTTATAAAACAGTGTAGAAACTTTTTGAACCTTTAAAGCGTTGCTTAAGCGAGCTCTTTATCAGTTTGTAGCAAGTATTTAGTAACCGGGGAATAAATCGGCTAAAGTAGATGGTGATTTTCCGAAAGCTCATTTACGGTTAAAAGCATAACCTATGATAAAGCAAGTACTAGTTTTTATTAAGAGGCCCTGTGGCGAAGTAGCTAGCGCATCGCGCAGCAACACCACAGGTCCGGGTTGCATAATGGCAAACCGCACGTTGAATTGATCAATGTTAAACGAATTTGCTTACTGCGCATGCCCAAAAGAGAATTTGGCACAGTTACGACTTTGGCGCAATTTTAAAAGAAGATAAATACGGTATATGTTTGATATTGTGTTATCCTGGACGTAAACAGTTCGAGGTTTTAAAACGTGTCAGGTTGTAAGCTGCTTCATTATTTGGAGTGTAAACGTCGATTGTAAACTACCCAAATTCTCTTTTAAAAAGGATTACAAGACAGGAAACATTACAAGATATATTAGCTGATTATACTTCTGAGGAATAAAAACAATTGAGTATTTATCATACTTCCTATTCATATATACTTTAACAAATTAAGGATTAAATCTAGTTTAAATTACTGAACCTAAGTCAAATAAATTACTGTAAGTAAATGAAATAGACTGTTGCAATTGTAAACAGTCGATAAGACCTACATGACGAGCAGGTAACTTGTGTAAGGTTGCTTGTGCTTAGTCGCCAGTATTTTCACCCACGCCAGCGGTACACCACTGAGCATGCGCGATAAGCGAAATTCGTTAACATTGATCAACTCAATGTGCGGTTTGCCATTAAGCGTCCGGGGTTCGATTCCCGGGCTAGGCAAGGTCGACTCAGCCTTTCATGCCTTGATTTCCATCACTTGGGTCGATAAAATGAGTACTAAGTTCGCTTGGAGACTAAACACGGTGGGTCCTGCGACAAGCTGACCACTTGTTCAGGGCATATGCTTACGCACCCCGGTGCCCACGGTCAAGAAAGCAGATTTCGGGCACCGCAGGCCTTGGCTCATTAGGGCTGTCATGTCACTGAGTTTAGTTTTTATTAAAATGGTTTTATGGCTCCAGGTTAGTTCCACATTGTTCTACAGTTTTATTCGAGCTTTGTCGAATTTTGCACAATTCACTTTGAACCAAAATAAGAGGAAAACCGCTCTCTACCTCAGTTTTGGAGAAAAATAAATCCTCTCCACTCTGCGCAAACCCGAACACCTCTGGAGACTTCAGCTAATTATGTGAATAAGTTACTGCATAAGGTATTTCTCCTGCTTTCTTAGAATGCTTTCGTGGTGTAGTGGTCAGCACGCTCGGCGCGTATTCAAGAGGTCCATGGTTCGAATTCCGGCGAGGGCATTGCATATTTTTCACGTCTTCTTTTTCATGTAACTTATTCACGAGCTAATAAATCATTATCACGGCACTGTGGAAAATATTCTTGGACTAAAGGATTAGATTGGAAACTCTCAGAACATTTCCATTTAGTTGAATGTATCGAACCCAAATTATCTTTCTCATATAGCTTACCATATTCATTTAACGCCTGAAAAATTTTAACCTTCCAGAACGCGCGCTTGGCAATTTTACATGAAGCACGCGCACGTCGTATTTTTTACGGCGTCTGCTATTTACGGTAACGTTTTATTTACGGTTATGCCCAAAACGGTAACGTTTTGGGCACAAAAAACGACAGAAATGAGTGAATATTGATAATAAATTTGTTAAGAATATTTATTTTTGCAATAATACCTAATTTTTGCAAAATACAAATGATATCAGATTCAAATATAAGTAAATTATGTTTAAGTTATGTTAGTGAGATGGAAATGCAGTAATGTATTTGATCATAGAAAAATTTTAAATTTATTCTTTAATAATTATATTTAAAATCGAAGCTAATTTTAATATTCATCAAAGGTAAGTATAGACAAATAAAAAAGGAAAACACCTTGGTAGGAAATATAGTTTAGCATTACTTACTTCTGGAAGGAAATTTACTTCTTACTGGTTACAAAAACGCATTTTAAGCTAACTTTAATCTTTTTTTTTTTTATTTCTAAAAAATAGAAATGCTAATTAATTAAAATAAAATTAATTAAATTATTAAAATAAAATCATCAAAACATGCTATTTGAAAATAATCGCTATTGTTTTCCCATCCAAAGTTTTCCTTGTCTTCCTTTTCTTCATCAGATAGTTCTTAAAATGCGAGCAAAATCAGCTGGTTGCACATATTTTTTGGCCGTGAAAACCGATGTAAAATTTACAGCGCCAAATGTATTCAAATTAAAATAATACACAGCAATTAATAACACAACATTTTAAATATAATTAAGAAAAAATATAATTATAAAAAATATTTTCCTAATTTTCACCCACGAGCACGCGCGTGTCGTAAACTTTACGAAGAAGCTTCCACGTAGCACCAAAACCCAGTTAAAAAAAAGTCAAATGACTTCCTTTTGGCACATTCCATGATGTGGGGAAGGGTAGAAAGGAGTAACAGAAATGACCTTCTGACGTCGGCTTCGATATGCGAAAAATGTGCATTAAAAACTGAATTTGTCATAAATTTTGCTCATACGCGCTTGCTGAAAGGTAAAAGTCAAAGTATAAACGCAATTCAACGATTGAAAGATAAATATTTTAATTTGAAATCCTGGAACTTTTTGATTTTAAGAAAAAGACATTATTAAGTTATTTTTTTTTAAATTTAATGAATGCATTTTTGTTTTTTAGGTATCGAGGCAAAAATCCAATGCTATTTCGTCGTCCAAAGGACATGGAAAGTATTTTAAGATGCAATATTTTTAACTACTTGGCCCATAGAGATGCACAAGGAAGAGCTATCTTTGTAATGAAAATTGGTAAATTCTTGTTTTTTTAACCATACTTTTGCACATTTTCGTCGTTTCATTTCACAAAAATGTGGCTATATTAAACTTTTAAATTAAACAGCTCATTAATTGTTTTCAGCCTATGCCATAAACCAGTCACTGATTATCCCACGTGGCAATATAAACGACCCCTGGAACACCAGATTTGCATTTTATGTAAAGAATCAACAAAACACTCATTAAAAAATAAGTATTATGTCCCATAAAGATCAATGAAATGAAAAAAAAAAAAAAAAAAAAAAAAACCTTTCTTGCAATGGATATGCATGGATGGTAGCATGGAAAATACGGAAAAAGTGTTTTAGTCAAAGAAGTCTACTAATAAATACAATTTGGTGCCAGGAGAACACGTACAAAGCGAGCGGGAAGAATTTTAGTAAGCGACTATACGATAGCTGCCGGCAATACACAAAATAATTCCTGCAGAACATCCCACAATTCGGATGTCTTGGAATTCTCTATTCGATAGCGTGGTATCCCAAACGTATTCTGTCACGTTTTGATCTGGAGACTTGCGTGAGAGTGGTGGAACTCCAGACTGATATGCTGCTGCAACCACAATGTGGCGTTACGACACTTGTGTGGATATGCATTTTCCGGTTCCAGCAGGCCCCCATCCATCAGCAGGAATGCAAGTGCTTTTTCAGAAAGGTTTCGCACATATCGTTTACCAATCATAAACGTTTGTAAATGCGCCAGCTGTCCAGGAATTTCAAGCTAAACAACGCATTTTGGGCACCGAACCAGCCAGCAAACTTCCTTGTTGACAAGCGGGATGTATGACTTCATGGACTTGCACGCCATACACAAATTTTCTTGTTGACAAGCAGAATGTATGACTTCATGGGCTTGCACGCCACACACAAATTTTCTTGTTGACTAGCGGGATGTATGACTAAATGGGCTTGCACGCTACACAATTTTCTTGTTGACTAGCGGGATGTATGACTTCATGGGCTTACGCGCCATACACAAAATTTCTTGTTGACAAGTGGGATGTATGACTTCATGGGCTTGCACGCCACACACAAATTTTCTTGTTGACTAGCAGGATGTATGACTTCATGGGCTTGCATTCACAGAAATGTGGTTATGTTAAAGTTTTAAGTTAAACAGTGCAATAATTGTTTTCAGCCTACGCCATAAACCAGTCACTGATTATCCCACGAGGCAATATAAACGACCACTGGAACACTAGATTTACATTTTATGTAAAGAATCAACAATTTGTGTGTGGCTTGCACGCCACACACAAATTTTCTTGTTGACTAGCGGGATGTATGACTTCATGGGCTTACGCGCCATACACAAAATTTCTTGTTGACAAGCGGGATGTATGACTTCATGGGCTTGCGCGCCATACACAAATTTTCTTGTTGACAAGCGGGGTATATGACTTCATGGGCTTGCGCGCCATACACAAATTTTCTACCTGTCAAATGCAGGTGGAAACACAACTCATCAAAACATGCTATTTGTTCCTAGTCTTTTGCATAGTAAATAGTGTTGATTTTGCAGTCTACAGTTTAAAAGCTATTTAGAATCTAAAAGCAATCTAGAATTTTTAAAAAATCTAAAAATCTAATCTAGAAATCTGAAAGCAATCTAGAATTTTAAAAAAATCTAAAAATCTAATCTAGAAACCTAAAAGCATTCTAGAATTTAAAAAAAATCTAATCTAGGAATCTAAAAGCAATCTAGAATTTTTAAAAAATCTAAAAATCTAATCTAGAAATCTAAAAGCAATCTAGAATTTTTAAAAACTCTAAAAATCTAATCTAGAAATCTAAAAGCAATCTAGAATTTTTAAAAAATATAAAAATCTAATCTAGGAATCTAAAAGCAATCTAGAATTTTTAAAAAAATCTAAAAATATAATCTAGAAACTTAAAAGCATTCTAGAATTTTTAAAAAATTTAATCTAGGAATCTAAAAGCAATCTAGAATTTTTTAAAAATCTAAAAATCTAATCTAGAAATCTAAAAGCAATTTAGAATTTTTAAAATATCTAATCTAGAAATCTAAAAGCAATCTAGAATTTTTAAAAACTCTAAAAATCTAATCTAGAATCTAAAAGCAATCTAGAATTTTTAAAAAACTCTAAAAATCTAATCTAGAAATCTAAAAGCAATCTAGAATTTTAAAATATCTAAAAATATAATCTAGAAACCTAAAAGCATTCTAGAATTTTTAAAAAATTTAATCTAGGAATCTAAAAGCAATCTAGAATTTTTAAAAAATCTAAAATCTAATCTAGAAATCTAAAAGCAATCTAGAATTTTTAAAAACTCTAAAAATCTAATCTAGGAATCTAAAAGCAATCTAGAATTTTTAAAAACTCTAAAAATCTAATCTAAATCTAAAAATCTAGAATTTTTAAAATCTAAAAATCTAATCTAGAAATCTAAAGCATCTAGAATTTTTTAAAATCTAAAATCTAATCTAGGAATCTAAAACAATCTAGAATTTTAAAAAAATCTAAAATATAATCTAGAAACCTAAAAGCATTCTAGAATTTTTATAAAATATAATCTAGGAATCTAAAAGCAATCTAGAATTTTTAAAAAATCTAAAAATCTAATCTAGAAATCTAAAAGCAATTTAGAATTTTTAAAAAATCTAATCTAGGAATCTAAAAGCAATCTAGAATTTTTAAAAAATCTAAAAATCTAAAAGCAATCTAGAATTTTTAAAAACTCTAAAAATCTAATCTAGAAATCTAAAAGGGAATCTAGAATTTTTAAAAAATCTAAAAATCTAATCTAGGAATCTAAAAGCAATCTGGAATTTTTAAAAAATCTAAAAATCTAATCTAGAAATCTAAAAGCAATCTAGAAATTACAACAAAAAAAAAAGCTCTCAGCATAGAACTAGTGGCTAAGCTGTGGTATAATGAACTAAATATTTTCTAGTCCCATCTTCAAGTGTTCTGTACCAGCGGCAGGTACAAAATGCCCAGTAGATATGAAATGGTGCTCTGTGTATAAATGAACTGTACTTGTTTTTCAATGAACACATACATACGTTTTCAACTCTACACACTGATTTGTATTTCTCAGCGTCATCTTCAGTTATCAAGCAGACTATACATAACTGAATTGTAAGTGAATAATACAAGTGACTACCGTGAATGTGACAAGCAAATGTTACACAGGAATTCTGTAAATAAGTGAACAGCACATATGATGTACATTAATATACCCAGTTGGTATTGTTCGGTATAAAATTCACCTGAATAACTTCTTATATCCAAGTTACCGATGACTTCTAGAGCAAACATTCTCTGTAAACTCAGAATCGCACTGCATAAAAACTTGCTAAAATCCCCGTTCAGCACGGTGTAAGTCTTGACACGGTCTCTTTAATAACCGCGGGTCACAAATACCCATCTTCCGAAGTAACTACAAGTTTTAATACATACTCCACAGAGCTAGGCCTAGCGACAAAAAATGCTCCACCAATTGAGTACAAATGCGGAAAATCATATAACAGGCGGTACAGCAACTGAGTTGGTGGTAAGTAAGTAACTATTGGTGTTGCCGTGGAGAAGTGAAGTCCTAATCACATATGTTTCCACTGCGAGGGACTAAATGTTCATAGGGACTAATTCTCAGAACCCGCACGTTTACACGAAACCCACGTACCTAGGTTACCATTTTTAGTTACTACAAAGACTTGAACTCTAAACAGTAATCGATTATCGCTCAGATTGGGATCACGTGATCCTTCAAAAGCAGAACTTTCATCTGATTGGTTGATCTCTACCCGGGGCAGAGCTGCAGTCGAAACATTTTCGGCGGGGTTTCAAAACATCACACGTAGCCGGTACCTCGTTTCCTCTTTCCCCATTAGGTCGACTCTGTTTTACTATACTTTTAAATTCTTATAGCATATTAACTTGTTATTAATAAGTTAATGTTAATATCTTGCTTAACTTTATTACCTTTTTATTATAATTTAATGATATAACTTAAAGTTATTTGTGATAAATTTTATTATAAAACTTGTTACTCAAATTTCTTGATATAACTCAATTTTTTTTTTAAATTTATAAATTTTCTTTGTGTTAATGCTCACATAATTAGTAATTTTTAATATTGTTCGATAGGGGTAAGGACTTCGGCCCAGGTACCCAGGTGTATACACCACTCCCCCGGGAACCAGCGATCGTTTCCGTAGCTAGGCTACGGAAATGATAGCTTTCCGTAACTTCCCTTCCAGCGGAGCTTTTCATTCTAGAAATCCATCCGCTTAAGCCAGTGCTACCAGAATCTCGTTTCTTAGAAAAGTCCCGTCTAGCAGGGATTATCGCTAAACTCAGAACCCGCACAAGGCATATGTAGTAAAAATCCACTCGTCAGGGCCATACAAAAACTCTTACTAAGAACACCAAAATACTATAGGCCTGAACTCCAATGTGTACCTGCCCACACCGGAATACTGGGTAATGAAATTGCAGATACAATAGCCAAAAGAGCAGCAACTGACCCCCACGTTCGCACACTTGAGGTACCTCTCCCGGGCTCGTTCTTAAAAGTTGAGCTCGAAAGAGAATTAAACGTTGGCAACATGTGTTGGAGACAGAGACCACCGACAGAAGAGTTCACAGACTTTTTCCAAAAGTCTGCCGGCTTCTAGAAAGTGACTCGTCTCACTTCACTGAGTTCTTAACAGGACATGGTCCCTTCATGACTTACCTGAATCGTTTCAGACGACGCGAAAACAACCATTGCTCATGCGGGATGGTAGAAGATCCGAACCACTATCTGTTCGCTTGCAGAGAGACTTTCTTTTTCTTTTCACCATCGACGGAACAGCTGGCCCACTGGGTTAGGTGCTTTTCAGCCTGTTGGATCCCGTCGATGGAATTTTAAAAATACATGAATAAATATAAATAAAGAGCTTAGTACTTTGTCCTCCGGGGATTGGCCACGAAACGAGGAACATTGAAGTGAAGACCAGAACATGAAAAGAAGGTGCATAGTGGGGACTGCTGAGACTAAGCGGAACACATTTCACTATTATCGTACATATTAGGCATACAGTTATATTAAGGATGTGCTATAAAAATCAGGTACAGATGTAAAGATGACCAAATACATTACAAATTGTGGACTTATTATTGTCATAGATGTAACACTTTTTTTGAAGATTTATATATACATATTTTTTCAAAAAATAGGAATCGGATCTTTAAGATTCAGTGTGAGCGTCCGTGTAACTCCTATGAGCGCACTTGCTTATGGGTTAATTGTTATCAACATGCAATATGACCAACAATATGATTATTTTAATAGTATGTAACAATAAATGGTTGTTTTAATATTGCGAACAATTAAAACCCAATGTTTCTAGGTCTGTGGTGTACTGAAACCTACACCTTCAAGGAATTTGTTGGCGCTGGAAACGTGCTAAGCCAGTGGGTCGTGAAGAATCCAGTAACACAGGTGAATGGTTTCGTAGGCATCTGGGACTTCAAGGATTACTCGTTTGCCCATTTCTCAAACTCTTGCACTCCTCGACTCATGTGGATGTTGTGCTCCCTCATGCAGGTAAGTGCGATTACACATGTTACTCAAATAACATTTCATTCGCTGTAGAAGCAAGTATTTTAAACTAAGATTCAACTGAGTTTTCATCAATCGAACGGTAAATTCTTTTAAGTCACTGTATGTGCTTCGTAAAACCAAGACAACATTAAAATCTGATCTAAACAAATATGCACTGGCAAATGATGTGATTTTTTACAGTTACAAGTTTGTTACACGTATTATTTCACTAACATGTTAAAGCTAGTGATGATGTATGTATAATAATTGATTGCTGCCTAAATTTGCTTCCAATACCTCTTGCATGATGCTGACTGAAAGTCTGTAGTTTCTAGCAGAATCAAATGATGGTTCTTTGGTTATTTAATCAGTATAATTAGCATAAGCTAAATAATAAGCTAACAAATTGTTAACTTAATTATGAATGTCAGTTAATTAAGTTTTATTATCTAATTAATTTAGTAAATAATTTATAGTCATAAGTTGATTAAGTTATTAATTAACACGAAAAATTATGTTTATTAATTAACACAATTAATACAAGTTAAACGGTATATATTGTTATTAACTATGCTTTTAACGCTACTAGTGATGTATATATAATAACTGCTTCTTACCTAAAGGTGTTTCTACTAATATCCCTTGTATGATACGGACTGAAAATCTGCTGTTTCTGGCGGAATCAAAATGACAGTTCTTGGGTTATTTAATCCGTATAATTAGCATAAGCTAACAAATTGTTAATTTAATTATTAGTGTGAGTTAATTAAGTTTTAATAACTAATTAATTTAGCAAATAATAGTCATAAGTTGATTAAGTAATTAATTAACACGAAAAATTATGTTTATAAATTATCCCAATTAATACAAGTTAAACGGTATTAATTGTTATTAATAATGCGTTAAATGGTATACGTATAATAACTGCTTTTCACTTAAAGGTGCTTTCAATATCTCTTTTTGCAGCTAATGGTTCTGTGTGTCTAAAGATGCATCAAAGAGGCTTTCGAAACTACTAATAAAATTTATTTACAAGAATATGTAAGAAACTGAAATAACTGAAGATACAGATACATTATTAGGCATAACAAGCTACCAAATTGTTAATTTAACAATTTAACAAGCTAACAAATTGTTAATTTAATTATGAATGTCAGTTAATTAAGTTTTATTATCAAATTAAATTAGTAAATAATTTATAGTCATAAGTTGATTAAGTAATTAATTAACACGAAAATTATGTTTATTAATTAACACAATTAATACAAGTTAAACGGTGTTAATTGTTATTAGCTATGCGTTTAACGGTACTAATGGTGTATATATAATAACTGCTTTTTACCTAAAGGTGCTTCTAATATCCCTTGTATGATACTGACTGAAAATCTGCGGTTTCTGGCGGAATCAAAATGGCAGTTCTTCGGTTATTTAATCCGTATAATTAGCATAAACTAATTAATAAGCTAACAAATTGTTAATTTAATTATTAGTGTGAGTTAATTAAATTTTTATAAATAATTAATTTAGCAAATAATAGTCATAAGTTGATTAAGTAATTAATTAACACGAAAAATTAATGTTTATAAATTATCCCAATTAATACAAGTTAAACGGTATTAATTGTTATTAATAATGCGTTAAGTGGTATACGTATAATAACTGCTTTTCACTTAAGGTGCTTTCAATATCTCTTTTTGCATCTAATGGTTCTGTGTGTCTAAAGATGCATCAAAGAGGCTTTCGAAAATACTAATAAAATTTATTTACAAGGATGTGTAAGAAATTGAAATAACTGAAGATACAGATACATTATTAGGCATCTCGGCCTTCCACGTACTACACCCTTAGAATCCAGCCGGGCATTAACTATTGGATAATGCACGTAACCGCCTTTTACTGGCTGCGGGAACGTCACAGCTCCCTCTAGCCGAATGGCGCGGGAAATACGTAACATCTCTTGCCTGATATTGCTGAAAATCTGCAGTTTCTGGCAGAATCAAATGACAATGCTTTAGTTATTCAATCAATATAATTAATATAAGCTAATTAATCAGGTAACTAATTATTAATTTAATCATTGTGGCTTAATTAAGTTTAATTAATTAATTTAGTGAATGAGCAATCATCATAAGTTGATTAAGTACTTAATTAATTCGAAATTAATTTTACATAATTTAAATAAAATAATTATTTATATTTACTATTCTTCTATATGTTTATATTATAAAATGTGTAACTTATATTTACTATTATTTTATTTTTTTAATAATTAAATTGTAATAATTTTTCTCTCTGTATATTCTGTTTCATTTTTCTTCCTTTCTCCTCTCCTTTTCCTAATTCAAAACAGTCCATTTGTTAATAGTTAGTTAGTCCACTTGTTATATAGCAACTGAATCTACACATATATTCATAAATCATTATCTTCAAAATAAAAATGTGTTGAATCACATTTTATATTTTTAACGAAAAAAAAGTTAAATTTTAGCGAATTTAAAATTCTTTAAGGTAGGTTTAACATTACATCACTCGGTCTTTCAATTCTTAAAGTCTTAGACGCAGTAAGTATTATTCTTTGAATAACAACTTAATTTTTTACATGTGAGTGGTTTTTCTCTAGTTAGAAAATAAATATTTCCTGCATGAGTTTTAACCCACTAACGTGGATTGATAAAAGTCTCTGATAATTTGAAAATCGGGAATGATAGTACCGAGATAAGTTAAATGGCAATAAATTTCTTTTAAATATAATCATATATATACATATACATATACATATACATATATATATATATGATGTACCAGCTTTTGTCAGGAATAAACAGATTGTTGAAGAATCATCAATGTAGTCGTAGCTTAAATTATCAGACGATAGTTTTAAAAAACAGGATCCATTTATTATATTTCAGGAGAAAATAGCAATTACAAAAATCTGATCTCCGGAGTAAATAAAAAAGAACTACTAATAACTTTTTGTATGAAGTTTACTGCATCGTGACACTCAAGGAAAAGCCCCAACACTCCTTTTGTGCGAGTCCCTTTTCCACAGCCTCCGGAAAGGCGGAGCCCCCAATGAAATGACGCCAGCCTCGCCAGCCACTCCAGCTCGCCTTAAAACACTTCCAGAACACTCCTAACAACTGTACGTGCAGAAAAGGCGGAAAAACAACTTGACCTACGGGGCCTGTGGATCCAATTCCCACGCCCTTTCAAACAAGAGACCGTCGCCATTAAAAATGAAAAGGAACATACAGTCAGAAATTTCTAAGTGTATTCCTTGACTATGGAATTTTATTTACATATATACGGGTGATTATAATTAAAGTTTAAGTTTCAAAACGCTATAAAAAAGAACCACTCATGAAAATGACGTCAATTGAAAGGAATGTTATTGAAGAAGGCGGAAAGCGTATGGCAAAGAAAAAATTTAGTTTCAAAAGTTAGCAACAGATGCGCTGCAAGCGGAAGAAGACGTAAATTAAAATGTGTTAGTTAAATTTCAGTCTTATAAAGCCGCCAGGTACCAGGCTGTTTCCTCATTTCGTCGCGTCTCAGACGTTCGCCATGGGCGTTTCACTGCAGGACCGCGCTCTGCTGGTAAAGCTGTATTACAAGAATGATGATTGTGCAAGAGTAGCTCTGCAAAATTCAGTACACTAAAGGGTATAAAGAAAGCGTTGGTCCAATGAGTGTCTTAGGTCTAAAGAAAATGATGCAAAAATTCGAAACGACAGGTTCGTTTGATGTGCAATCTGGTAGAGGGAGAAAACGAGTGCATTCGACGGTAGTTGAAGAAGTGGCCACAGCATTACAGGAGGGGTCGCCGTGGTGTGCAACCGTGCAGTGCACGAGGAATTGGCCCGAACATTGGACAGGCCTACGAGCACGGTGCTGAAAATTATACGAAACATCCTGCAATGCTATCCGTACAAAATTGGCCATGCAGGAGTTGCTTCCGCCTGACCTGACAGCTAGGAGACGTTTGCGTTAGAAGTCCTGGCTCGCAGGGAAGTGGATAATGAATGGCCGTGGAAAATTTTGGGACAGATGAAGCCCATTTCCATCTGACAGGGTACGTGAATACCCAGAATTGTCGAATATGGGCAACAGAAAATCCACTGGCAACGCACCCCCGTACCACTTCATCCTGAAAAGGTCACGGTATGGTGTGGCTTTACGGCATCATTCATCCTAAAACCATATTTTTCGAGCAGACGGCTGCTTCCGGTCCTGTTACCGCAACCGTCACTGGTCAGAGGTATGCGTCTCTTTTTGCGCAACCACGTGATTCCAGCTCTGCAACAGCGTGGATGTGTAGATGAAATCATTTTTATGCAAGATGGCGTTTCTGCACATTGCACATCCCGTGAAGCAGCTGCTGAGGCGCCATTTTGGAAATGCTCGAATTATCAGCCGTCATTTCCCTACAGCCTGGCTGTCCCGATCGCCTGATCTTACTCCGTGTGATTTCTGGCTGTGGGGATATCTGAAGGATGTTGTGTTCCGTGCTCCAATTGCAAATTTAGCGGAATTAAGGCACGCATTTCGCAACAACATCTGAACATCACCCCGGAGACACTGCGATCCGTTGCGGAACGTGCGTTTGTCGCTTTCAACTTGTTGCCACACAACGGGGATACCATATTGAACATGTTTTTGTGCCAGTCTCGCGACAGTTCCGAACTTCTTTGATGAATGGTTCTTATGCGGTATGTCGCCGCAAAACTCTTGAGACCGATTTTGTCCCTTTCGATGTGATATGTACAGTCATGCAAATAAATTATTCAACAATTCTAATTTCTCAATGCGTTTTTAATGTGTAACTTCTACCTTAGCCATTGTTTTACGAATCGTTTATCGTTTCTCGTCGTGATTCTGCCGCTTACAGCGCCATCTGTTGCTAACTTTTGAAACTACATTTTTTCTTCTGCCATACGCTTTCCGCCTTCTTCAATAACATTCCTTTCAAATTTCACATCATTTTCATCAGTGGTTCTTTTTTT